CCCATACCATGGGGCAGCTGCTGCGCAGGTGCTAGGTGGGGGTGAGGGTTGATCCCTGCTGCCTTTCGCTGCATGGAAGGGCTCTTCTTCGAGCCCTCAGAGGCCCCACTCACTGCTGCTGTAGCTGGTGAGTGCGGGGCATTTTTTTTTTAAAGTGCTGGGGGCTGGGGCTGTGTGGGGGCTGGGGCTGGGTAGGGCTTCTCCTGCAGGTTCCACTGCTGGGGCAGAGGCAGGCACATCCAGAGGAGCTGTGGGAGAACCTGCAGGCACCCGGCTGTGTCTGCATCTCCCTCGCTGATTCAAATCTCCGAATAAGTGCTGAAACTCTGAAACAGATTTGGCCGAATTGAAACAGAACAGTGATCTGAAACACCAAAATGAATCACTGTCCTCTGAAATGAAACATAGCCGTTTTGTACAGCCCTAATCTGGTATGAACCTGGCTGTCCCAGAATCCATGGCCATGACAGCCAAATCACAGGTCTTAATCAACTGACTAACTCCATTAGCCAGTAGCAATATCTTTGTGATGGACTAACCTCCTGGAGCAGGGGTTAGCAACATTTTTGGGCAAAGTGCCAAAAACGCTTGAAACTTCAACTTGTAAGATGTTGGCATGCCAGGGCCAAACAGTGGGAGAGCCACAAGGGGCCCAATCCTTTTTATGGCAGTGCAGCCCTGGTCCCTTACCTGAGGAGTGCATGCCAAGCAAAAGCAAAGTAACATCACACCATTCAAGAGGGATACAGACAACCCCAAGAGGGTTCAGAGGAGGGTCACTCATATGGTTAGGAGCCAGCAGGCAAAGTCCTACGAGGAGAGATTGAGGGCCCTGGATCTCTTCAGCCTCTGCAAGAGAAGGCTGAGAGGTGATCTTGTGGCCACCTACAAATTCATCGGGTGGCAGAGGGGGGAAGCAAGAAATAGGAGATGCTCTTTTCACCGGGCACCCCTTGGAGTAACTAGGAACAATGGCCACAAATGATGGAGAACAGATTTAGGTTAGACATCAGGAAGAACTTCTTTACGGTAAGGGTTGCCAGAATCTGGAATGGCCTTCCAAGGGAGCTGGTGTTCTCCCCTACCTTGGGGATCTTTAAAAGGAGGCTAGACATGCACCTGGCTGGGGTTGTCTTACCCCAGCGCTCTTTCCTGCGCAGCACAGGGGGTCAGACTTGATGATCTACTAAGGTCCCTTTGACCCAAACATCTATGAATCTGTGTGTGCCAGGGGTTGCCTACCCCTGCCCTAGAGGGAGATGGAATGCATGTAGTCAGTATACTACACGTGTCAGTGGGCTGTTGGCATGGATAATTTCTCACACCTTAAATTTTTTTATAATGTTTTTTACAGTGCTGCTACCATCACACCCTTGCCAACCCAATATGTTTGAGGCATTGGAAGGTTTCAGCCATTATAAGCAGGAGCCAGGTTGAAGTGGTGATTCACTGTGCACTGGCTTGAGAATGGATAGGGAGGTAGATACTGATGGTTAATATTACTTTTGCTGAAAGCAGCTTTCCTGACTGTGAACACTGTAGACTAGAGTTACTCTCGATTTACTTTTGTGTAAATGAGAGTGATGCCTTTAAGATAGAGCTTTTTTCTTTGTTGAATAGTTTGGTTCAGAGGTTTGGGGCTGAAGTTATATCATCCTGTTGTTTCACCAGCTGTAGAAACATGGATCTTTGTTTTAATATGATTTGTTAAGAAGGAAATATTACAGTCCGCGATCCATCAAGCAAGCCAAAGATCACATTAGCTGTAATTACTTTTGGCTGGGCTTATATTGATCAATGCCCTCTTTGGGACTCCAGGGTGGTGCTGATGCTGCTGGTTCACTTTCACCATGGTAAATATGCTCTCATCAAGTTAACAGCTGTGACAAGCTAAGCCCGAGGTTTCTTAAATGCATTATTGCAATGCAGGTAGTAATATGATTAAAGCTGGGTGAAATGTAAAGGTCAGAGACCTGGTTCATTGGTAGAACTCTGGGCAACAGATGCTTGCACGTTTATGCAGAGCAATGGCTCAGTGACACAAGGAACTGATGGATTCAACAACTTATTGCATCTCAGGGAACTTTTGGAATAAATTATTCCTATGGAGCCCTTAAAGGAAACTGTAGCAGCTCTCCTTTACTGCAACCTCTGGAGAGGCAGGTAGCAGTGCTGCTATCAGTCTTCCCCTCTCAGCTCTGGGGCAGCTCTTCTCATCAGCACAAAGAAGCAAAAATTGCTTTTCTTCTGAATCCAGAAAGTATTTTAAGTCTTAAAAGTTGGAGAACATTTTAAAATGAGCCAGGGATAGTGATGACTTGATGAGGGCAGGAACTAGGAACAGGCAAACCACTGAATGACTTAAGTGACTTGTTCACTTAACACCCTTTCAGAGGCTCAAAGAAGCACAAAAAACTCCCTTCCCTTTACTCATTATTTTTTGTTTCCAGGCACATGTAGAAAATGTAAGATGCAAGAAAAGCAAGAGAAAATCTTATTCTCAAAGTATCTGCAGTCTGGTCAGCTAGATTTAATGACATTCTCCTGCAGAAGCCTCTTATCACTTTTACTAGTCTAAATTCAAGAGATTAAACCAGCTTGGGATCCAGACCCAGGTCACTTATTCAAACTGAACCCTCTCTCAAGCTTGCTCTGCTCCCCCTGCTTTCACACATCTCCCCCACCTGGCTGCCTAGTAGGCCTGCTTGAAGAGGAGGGCTGGAAAGTGCTCTGTGCAATATTTAAGCTCATGGCCTAACAGTAAGAGCACTTCACTGGGAAGTTGGAGATGCAGATTATTCACAGTTCATTCACACACCACATGGAATAAGGCAGAAAATCTGCCTCTAGCCCATCTGCACCCTATTGCCTGTCTCAAGTGTCCATAATTAGAAACAAGCACAGAAGAGACAAGTAGTGAGCATGTTTCCTGAGAGGTTCCATTTGAGTTTCCCATTTCTTTCCTCTAGGACTCAATCTGCCCATTGCTTGGCTTTCCCCCTGAGCTTCCTGTATGCTACCACAACAAGGCAATAGATAAGGAGGGACAGATTGTGCAGGCAAGTCATCGACTTATCCCAAAAGAGAGGTATAGGCAAACCTTTAGAAAGGTATCTTTGAAAACTTTGCTCTCCGTGACTTGGCCAATGTCAAACAGGAAACCTGTGACAGAACTAGATCCTGACATCTGATCCTTCCCATCCTGGTTCAGAGCTTTAAGGCCAAGACCATCCTTTGTTCTTACATCTTCCCAATGTGCAATGTTCATTATGGAGAATAGCAACAATACCTTCTGATACCATCTAGCGCTAAGCCTACACTGCAGTCTGCTATGTAATGCAGAGAGCTAGCTTTAACAAGAGGTCCATGCAGGTTTATTTACCCTGCTTCTTCATAGACAGCCCAAGCTGAGTTCAGTGCTGCATTGGCTAGACTGCTTCTGGTGCCTGAGTGAGCTCAAGTTGGAGTTAGCTTGGGTATCTTTACACAACACTATAGTCTGCAGCACAGACATATCCCAAGATTGATTTTCAGCAGATTTTTGAAGGGAAGGAGGTGGTGATGCAAACAAATTCCAGGGCTTGTTAACATGGTTTATGAGTCATGTACCATCTACGGCCTTGTTTTTACATAAACTGCCATGGGAGCGGGGTTTGCCAGCAAAGGGGTTGCTATTTCACATTGACAGATAAATAACTTGCTGTTAATCACTCTAATTTCCTGTCAGGAAAATCAGCTATCCACATAACAGATGATGGAGGCTGAGGCAAGCAAATCCCTCAGAGATGGGAAAGTGTCGCTCCCATGCTCTCAATATCTCCCCTGCTGGTTCCTAGGCAGTGCAGATTCATAGGAGACAAAAAGGTGTGCATGGCAGAGTGAAAGAGTAGAATACAGCAAGGAGTCTGGTGAGATTGGGACTGGAGGGGAGAGAAACTAGGAGTGGCTAGGCATGGAAACTAGGGCCGGGAACTTGAGGGTGATGTGAGACTGTGGGCCAGGAAGGGGATAGGGAATTTGTTGGATAAGGACACTTGGATCAGGAGAAGGTGAGGGAAATGGAGGATACTGGAAAGTAGTTGACTGAGGGAGGAAGGACACAGAGACTGAACAAACAGGTAGGTGGAAGGGAGGGGTAGAACCTGCTGAACCAGAAGACTGCATCTAGGATCTGATGTGAAGGGAAACGAGCAGTGGGAGATGGGCAGATCTTACAGAAAACTGGAATCAGGGGGACAGGTAGGACTGGCTGGGCAAGGAACCTGGGACTGGATTTTAAACCAGTCTGAGCTGATGACATCCTTAAAGTAGTTAAATGAAATTCAACTCATGGCAAAACAAAGTGAAAATGGTAGTTGGTGCAAATTTAAATAAATTAGGCAGGTGTGATATTAGATTGGACTAAAGTAAGCTATGGGTAGTGAGAGGTAGTTATCCATGCTAGTCTGACCTTAGCAGAAGGCAGGGCACAGTGGCACCTTAGGGACTAACTCATTTAAATGGTATGAGCTTTCATAGGCAACAGCCTATTTCATCAGATGTTTATTTGGACAGAAGGTGTATCCAAATGAAGTAGGCTGTCATCTACAAAAGCTCATGCCTCTGAATGAGTTAATCTCTAAGGTGCCACACTGCCCTGCTGCTACCCAAGCTAACCAGTGATGATCTTTCTTAGATACTTTACTTTGAGTTTGTTTTATTTTCCCCAGTACACAAGATGACAAACATTTTGCCCTTATGAGTCATTGCTCTCCTTTGCTTGCAGAAGAATCCCTCCTGGTTCTTTTATTTTGCAGCTCGCAATCCAAATTAAAGTTGCGTTTAACAACATAACAGGGCCTAATCTCCTCAGATTGGTTTAGTTTGCTACAGGTTTATGAAAGGCTTAGTACAATTTAATTGTCAACAAGCTCTGCTGCATTTCATTGCGCTGAACTGAAGCCTGCAGGATGGAGAAAGCCAAGCATTCTAGACTGACATGCCGCCAGACAGTTCCCTACCTGCGGGGCCAGAGGTGGGAGGAGCGCCGAACGAGAGGTTCTCCAGGATCTTGTGTTCCAGTTCAATCTTTTTCTGGCCACCTCTACTGGTGAGCAGATTGCTTGAGTCTGGAGGGGTATCTTGAGGTGTCTTCTCTCCATTGACTGGAAGACAAAAAGCCGCAGTCTCATTTATGACTGTGCTGGGGCACTGGGTGGTTCAAAGAAGAGAGGTAAATAACAGCTGGTGGTTGTGCTGTCTGGGCCCAGACTCTGCCCATGGCAGGATTAGAGGGAAAGACAGCCTGCCATTCCACTACTGTTATGGGAATGGAAACAAATGAGGGGAAAAAGAGGAGGGAGAAGGGACGCTAGATGTAACAGCACAGGCAACAAAGATAGTAAGGAGAAATACAGAATGTACAGAAATACCAACAGTGTCTCAGTCTAACACTTAGGTTTATCTGGTAAAGTGCTGTAAAATAACTTTTGTTTACAGGATAGTGGCTATTTTTTATTTTATTTTTTTTAAGAAGAAGATGGAGGTAAGATCCCCTTATATTGGCACATATATGAGGCTGCAAACCTGACTAGAATTGCAGGTGGAACTGACGAGATGCATAGGGCCAGATTTCTTGCTGGTGTAAATTAACATAACTCCATTGAAGCCAGTGGGGCTCTACTGATTTCCACTGGATGAAGAATTGCCCTAGAGGTCCTACATCTGCCAAAATGCAGTGCATGGAACTAATGGAGATTTAAGTGGATGCAGCATCACCAACAAAATGGAAGAGAGCAGTCTTGTTCTGGGGTAAGAGCAACAGATGAGCAAAATGGCAAATGAGGCAGAAAGTAAATGAGAATTTAACTTTTTTTCAATTTTAATAACCTACAATGGCGCCATCCCAAGCATATATGGGAACAGATCCTTAACAGATGTAAAATAGTAATATCAATGGAGCAAGACTCATTTATATGGCCTGAGGCTCTGATTCATAATTTATACCTTGAACGTGCTTTTTAAAATAGTATTTGAATGCAGTCAGTCAACCAAGTGCTTAGTTCCTGCACTGTATATGTGAAACAATACTCAGTTATTTTATACCCTCCTCCCCCAATTGTTTCAAGCTTCTACTTTATTTTCACAAAATATAAGGGAAAAGGACCTAAATGGGTCTGGGAGACACTTCATTGGGGTTTCTGTTTGATTTCTCTTGCAAGTTTTCTATGCAACTCATAAGAGTAAGGGGAGCCTGCATTACAACTGTTTGCTACATAAGAGTTTTGCAGTGTGTAAATGATTACCCATCTTTTATCTTCATATGAGTGTCCCTGCACAGCACATAGTGGGATCATTTGACCCATTTACAAATTAAATTTCTAGTTATCTTGGTTTACCTCTTTCCACGGCCAAGAGTCCAACTTTTTATTCACGTTGGGCACAGACAGACATGGGAAAAAAAATAAAAACAGCACTTTACCAGAAGAGGAATCACATCAGTTTGATCCAGCTTGCCCAATGTCTGTATAGCACGTGTGCTTCAGTGGGTTTTTTTTGGCACTTCTATCTAATAGCTGATTCAAAAAGCCCTGCTGAAGCGTGTGAGCTATACAGATGCTGGGTGAGCTGGGTCAAACTGACGTGATTCCTCTTCTGGGCATGAGCCGTGCTCAATGCAGGGGTGCACCAAGCTGAAAATAAAGTGCTGTTTTGTTTTGTTTTTTCCACGTCTGTTAGCAGCCATAATTAACTGTCACAGATAACAAGTCATCTCCTGTGGAACATTATGCAGCCACAAGCCAGCTTCTGAGCCATGTTGCATAGCAGGTGATGCTATCCTTCAAGTAGGCAGTTGATACTCCTCCACAATGTGTGTCAAGGCAATGCCAGAGTCTTACCCCATTTCCTAGACCACCCCAGTGATACAATATGTAGTGAGTGAGACTATTTAATCTACACATAAATAGGATTTCAGAGATTTAACCTTAGCCACCCTCTACTTGTTACGGGTATTGTTCAATCAGTTGGTTAACTGTGCAATTACCTTAAAACCAGCTACATGTGTGAGGGAGCTATCACATGGTAAAAAGCTCCAGCCAGCTATAAAGTTAGATCTCAAAAATGTATACTAACTCGATAGCTGGTTGCTACTGAGCTTTAATTTGCATGTGTAGCAGGGTCTCCCTTGTGGCTGTCAACTGACAGGGCTCCCAGCCACAGGTGTGCACCATGCCCAGCGTGAAACCTCTCAGCCCTGGGGATTGTGGCTGCCATGATCCCCAAGGCTCAGGGGTATGTGAAACCTCCAGACTACACGGGGCTCTCAGTCCCAGTTGCACTGCCCATGCAACTGGGAATAAGAGTCCCTGCAACTGATGGGGCTCCTGGTCCTGGCTGCCCCTCATGTCAACTGTGGAACTCTTGGCCCCAGCTGCATGTGATGGAAAGCCGAGACCCAAAGCCATCTGCAGGGCTCTAGGCCCTGGCTGCTCCTGGCCCCTGTAGCTGGGAGCCCCCTCAGCAAATGGGGCTGTCAGCTGTGGGGCGCTGCTTCTTGCCAGTGCAAAGGGAGCCCAGGATTGGGATCCCTCATACACCAGCAATAAGGTGTGATCCCACAATCACACCTCCTGCCATGCATGTGTGGCATGGCAGGAGGTGTATTTGTGTGGCTCATGCATTAGATCCGATTTGCACTTTTACCTGCATGTGTAGAGGGGACCTTACACTTCTGGGAAGATTTAGAGAAGACTGCAGTGTCCACCTCTGTCCAAACCTCAGATCTCACTGATAAAAAGTTGACTTCAGGTGTACTCACTTGTTAGATAACAGTCCAGGCTAAGAGAAACATTGTCAAAAGCAATAATGGCATCAGATTCTTCCTCCCATGAAGTGATGATCTGAAACCAAAACCTGTACAGATTAAAAAAAAAAAGAAAATAAATTATTAAGTTCAGCTAAGTGTACTGGCCTCCAGACTATCAACAAATAAAGGACCTTTAAAAATGGGAATGTTTTACAAGAAAAACCAATGTCACCACAATGAAAAAATATTGAACCCTATCTGGCAACTTTATTTGGGCACAATGGTGAAAGGGACTGTAGCTATACTGAAATAGATACAAAAGTAAGTGTGCCTTATACTCTTTCTACACGAGCAGAGTCTGAGCACAACGTGAGCATCTTGCCAAAGGTCAAACAGCAAGTTAAAGGCAGAACCACAAAGAGGAACCAGATCTTCTGATGCTCAAAGCAACTTTTGAAAAGTACTGATGTGGCTTCAGAGCCTGCATCTCCTTTCAAGAAATGGAATCATGTTGGAAATCAGTGGGACATAAATTCCTAAATGACTTAGGTGCTTTTGCAAATTTGACCCTCAATCTGCTGCCGTTGCCACTGGACGACACATTCATCCCCTGAAGTCCACACTACCATAAGAACATAGGGGAAAAACAGAATCCATAACAACCTGCAGGTAAATGACAGAAGTCTGTGCCATTTTATGGAAACTGCAGAACTTTTTATTTTATTGCAGAAGAGGCTGGGGACAGGTTCACAGTAAATCACTTCCATGTTCTTGGCTGGCCTTACGAAGGGAGCTATACCACTGGCTTTTTGCTAGAAGGAAAGATCACTGCAGGTTTGTTTTCAATGCTTTTTTGAAGTCAATGGATATAGCAAAAATAATTTATAATGAATATTTCCAGTTGTACCATAAATAGTTTATGTAATAATTTAGGGTGCTCATGGGCTTCAATTGGCCTTACAGTTGCAGCTTCACAAGCTCATCTACTCTCTGAAGTCATAATCCTTTCTGTAGCACATGAGGATGATTTCTAAGAGCAACTGACCCTGGTGCCAAATTTAGATACAAGTCTCAAGGGTGTTATCAAGGCCATAGAAATATGGGCCTTTGGGTGGGGGCCAAGCAGCAAACGAACATGAAATTGTTTTAAAAAAAAACCAGGGAAAATCTTGAACTACATTTTTTATGGCATTCTGACTCGCTAACCCAACAGAGGTTAAAATCACCTAGGAGCTACTTTAACTTTTGCCAGGAGTCTACAGTTCCTGCTGTCTCTTTTAGACCTGAGCATTTAGCTAAAATTTGGGGCCCTATGGGTATTTTCATGTGAGTGGAGAAATTGCTGATGGGGTCAGGTTTTTTCAAAAACTGTCTGGTTTTAAAAAGCATAGAAAGTCCAATTTCTCTAACATGAGTAAGAAACAAACATCTGGAGACAAGTTTCTTTGCTTGCTGTCTTCAAGCCCCTTTATAGCTAACACTCAGCCCAAAAGCATCCTCTGAAGTCCACGCTACCATAAGAACATAGGACTGGAAGGGGCCTCCTAGGCCACTGAGCCCAGTTTCTGGCATTCACAGGCAGTCATTAACACAAGGAAGGACTCTCCTTAATCACCACTTCAACCCCCCACCCACAACTGCAACAAACCACATCCACAACACCAAAACCACCCTGGACCAGTGCTTCTATGGCTGTGTTTGGTGCTTTTTTGCTGCCTTCTATTTCTGCCTCTTTTTCAGAGATGGGAACCTTTAGGAAACCCTCCACCCACTTGTGCCTTTGTATTGGGCAGTGATGGGTAACTGTGTCTTGTGTGGAAACTGTTATTGTTTCACCTAGCAGAAGGAAGCTTAAATGTTTCCTCACATTTATCCAAAATGAAGGGCAGTTTTAACACAAAACAGTTTCGACAAAGTTCAACACAGTCATGACATTCATCTCAGCTTTGCCCACTGTCCTGTTGGTAACCAAAATGGTGACACTACGCAACCTGTTCTCTGAGAGAAGAAAAGTAATAATGTAACAAATAATCAAGTGTATCATTTGCAATTTACCAGTATGTATTTACTTAACACGCCGGAATTTTTTCACAGCTTCAACCTGAGGCAATTATATTCTCATCCTAATTTGTTTAGAGCTCTGCTCCCTGTACAATTTCCTCTATAACCTGTCATGCAATCATTTTGAATGGAGCAGTAATTTTTCTTTGTAGAACTTGGACTTTTCCTGTACTGAGCCACCATCTTTTGAAGTCCTGTATGTTCCTGTGTCACTTTTGTCCCTTTTCCATAAGCACTGGCATTCTGTCCAGTATGAAAGGAGTTTTGACACGTGGGTAGGTGAAATAGGGAACATGAGAAGAAGGTTTCTTTTATGTCTGAAATGCTAAGTCACACTCAGTGGACTACTGAAATATCTTTCTTCTCTAATCCAATCTCTGCAATGACTTTATAGCCCCAGAGCAAGCGCATAAAAAAAGCCATGGTAGCAGGAGCAAAGTCCTACAAAACTCTGCACCTCTGTGGCCACATCTACAACTGGTATTACTGTGCAGTAGTGTCCCCGCATGGTTTTTTTCTGAAGCTACTGTGCAGTATCAATGAGTTACTGCACAGTAGCTTATTACTACTGTGCAGTAGTGGCGCATCACATTTAGTGCCCCCCAACACTACTGCACCGTAGCAACGAACTACAGTGAAGTAGTTCAGTGCTACCGTGCAGTAGCATCTTGTGTACTACAAAGATAGGAGTAGGGTCTAGTCACTTCTGTTCAGCTTCACTTTTCTTTTGGCCATCAACTGTGTGCACAAGGTAAATTCTCTCTCCTTGAAACAACTCCTGTTTCATAGAATCATAGAAAAGGAGGGTTGGAAGGGACCTCAGGAGGTTGTGTAGTCCAACCCCCTGCTCAAAGCAGGACCAGCCTCAGCTAGATCATCTCAGCTAGGACTTGAAATCCTCCAAGGATGGAGATTCCACTACCTCTCTAGGGAACTGTTCCAGTGTTTTACTAACCTCCTAGTGAGAAAGTTTTTCCTAATATCCAACCTAAACTTCCCTTGTTGCAACTTGAGACCATTGCTCCTTGTTCTGTCATCTGCAACCACTGAGAGCAGACCAGCTCCATCCTCTTTTGAATCCCACTTCAGGTAGTTGAAGGCTGCTATCAAATCTCCTCTCAGTCTTCTCTTCTCTAGACTAAATAAGCCCAGTTCCCTCAGCCTCTCCTCATAAGTTATGTCCCCTGCAGTCCCTGAACCATTTTTGTTGCCTTCTACTGGACTCTCTCCAACTTGTCCATATCCTTTCCAGGGCCTGTGATCTGGCAACTTCTGCTAGATGTCTGAAGAATGCCTCATCTACCACATCCTCCTCGTCTGGTGGCCTATAGCAGATGCTCACCACAACTTCACCCTTGTTGCTCTCCCCTCTAACCTTAACCCAGAGACTTTCAACAGGCCTGTCTATCCCTAGTTTCATACTGGAGCTTTGAGCAATTGTATGGCTCTTTTATGTACAGCCCAACTCCTCTTCTCCCCTGCCTGTCCTTCCTGAACATTTTGTACCCAACCTTGACAATGCTACAGTCATGCGAGTTATCCCACCAAAACCCTATTATTCCAATCACGTCATAGTTCCTTGACTGTGTGAGAACATTTATTGGGTTTTGATTTCATTTTTGTAGTGTTAGGCTAAACATAAAACTGCCTAAAACACCAGAATGAAAATCATGGCTAACGCTCATCTCTGCAGGAGATGAAATGTTCTCAGGGGCTGGTCTGAACTTGCAGAATGAACTCACCCAAGAATTGAGGACTAGCACAAATCTTTCCACCTTCTTCTCCAAGGCAAAACATATTTCTGTGACCCTGCCTTTTCTTACACAAATATGCAGTAATACAAAACAATCATAACAATAAATCAAACAAAACCATGAGACCTAAAAAATCAAGACGCTTCATTAGACTTGCAACTTACCAGCTAGGTACAGACATTTGGGGAAGTTAGATTACATTAAAAATGCCCCCCTGCATCTTAGTTTGTGTAGATGTGGACCTTACCTTATCCTTATATCCCTAGTTAAGTTGATCTGAACGTGAGCTGTACAGAAGTTCAGGAAGGTTAGATCATATTAAAATGGTTGACCTGATCTAATTTAACCCTACCTCAGAGGTAATCTACCTTAGATCAGGTCCAGCAAGACCCATCTAACTGAACTTGCATACAGTTCCTAGCACAGTCCTGGGGCTGGGAATACCCAGCTGCTGGCCTCAGTCCTGGGGCTACGCTTTTCCCACCCCACTTCCTTGCACTGGGATATTTTTAGCCCTCCAGCCCCTCGCGTCAGCCCCAGATGGACAATCCCCCCTCCACCCCTGTGGACAAGCCTGCTCCCATCCCTCTGAAGCCTGCCAAACCCCCAGTCCTGCATCCTGCTCCTGCTGCCAGTCTTACCAGTGTTCACCGGTGCTAGGGGCCAAGGAAGTAAATGAGTTTGGGGGGAAGGGGCAGGCTGGATGTGGGGGGTTCACCAGAGGGGAGTTGTTTGTCTGGGAATAGAGGGGAGGGGAGTTAGGGGGGCTAAAAATAGCCCCTGATCCTGGGGGAAGGGGAAGAGAGGCCTTCCCATCCTGCCATATCCCTCTGATCTGCCTACCCCTCCCCCCACCCTGACTTACTTCATTTGGACTCCCAGGACCAGTGAATGCCAGTAAAACTGGTCCCAGGAGTGGTTTGCAGGATTGGGGGCAGTTTGGCAGCATTGGGGGAGTGGGAAAAGGGGAGGGGAGTTGTCCAGAGGGGTTGCAGGATTGGATAGTCTCTTCAATCCTGCTAACCCCCATCCCTGGATTCGTTCAAGGCCCTCCTGCTAGCCCCCCTGACCCTGCCAAACCCTCCCAGACCCCAGCAACTTCCCCACAGACCCTGCTAGCCCCCTGGCCCCCAAGCCCTTCTGTGTACCCCCACAATGCCTCCAAGTCTCCCCCCCATCTCAATTTACCTTAGATTGACTGGCTATTTTTAACTCGATCTAATTTCTCTGAATGTTTGTATGCACCCACCATGGGGAGATGTTACTTACACTGCTTAATGTACTGCTATGAG